AATAAGTCTGACACAATGTTAACACATAAAAACACAAGAAAGCACTGAAGATGTTTTCTGATTTTCTTAACAATAAAAAAAAAGTGCTCTCAGATTTTCAAATGAGTCTGAAATTCTAATGTTTAGGGGATTGTTCATGATTTTGGAGACAGTATATATATATATATATATATATATATATATATATATATATATATATATATATATATATACATAAACATAAATATGCCCAAAATGACTCTGAAAAAATTCTGGTTCCATTGACTTACATTAAAAGTAGAGTATGTTTTTTCCTTCTCCTGTAAAGTTACCATTTTGGAGATATATAGATATAGATATAATGGACATAATTTATGTGTGCATATATATGAAATGAACCAAATAACACTGTAATTATTATGGTATTAATGCAAAATTTGAATGAATTTAATGAATATTTTCATAAAGATGTTAATTGTCTGTGAGGTGTGGGAGAGCCCAAAATCACCACATTAACCTCTTCAGCTCCTTGAGACCACCGGTGGTTCCAAAACGCACTTTGTCATATTCTTCTTTCATATTTCATAAGCTACGTTCTAAAGGTGGGGGTCGTATGAGAGCTGTAACTGTCTTCTTTCTAGTCTAATAGATGGGTGATGTAATTTTAAACCCTTATAATAAAAGAAGCTGAACTCAGTTTTTTTTTCTACTGAAAGTCGACCCATTTTTCACAAATCTGGGCTATAAACTATAAACAGATGGCGTCTCTTCAGTGATCTGCTCTGTAAAAATTATTTTAATAAAATAATACAAAGAGCGTCTAAGATTGTTGGCTTTCAGCTGTAAGTTGTAAGCATATAGCAATATGTGTATGATCATAAAACACGTATGTTAATTTGAGGGGAGCTTTTACAAAAAATAAATAAACAAATAAATAAAATAAAAAATTACATTTATTTCATGCAGTTACTGAATAATTCTCCTTATGATTTGGTCATGTAAATTCAGATGGACCAGAATATTCCCTGGAGAATAACAGGTTGAAGGTCAGATATTTTATCTGTTTTGTGATCAATTAAATGCTAATTTTTATAATTTTTTATTATTATTATTATTATTATTATTATTTTAATTTAAAGCAAATATTTCTTCACTTTTCACAGACATAAAATAACAAAAACAACAGCAGACACTTCTTTTAACAAGGTAATAAGACATAAACTGAACTCTATTCATGGAAAAATGAATAATTAATAAACGGTAAAAGCGGCGCTGTAGTTTTTTGCGTCTGCGGCTCTTTTAAAGCTCTTTAAGGCCCGTGACGTCAGCGAGCGAAACACGGAAGTGCGCGCTCACGTGGTGCCTCCTTTAACTGCGGCGTCAGAGCGGAGCGGAGTGAGGATGATGAAGGACAGACGATGAAGGAAATGAAGATGATCAGCGGCTTTTTCAGCAGGTTCTGTCGGTCGGTTCTGCCTCTTTACTCCCACTGTGTAGAAACAGCCCGCTGTCCGCTGCGCAGGGTCTATAACCGCCATCATCATCACCTCTCAGGTAAGAGTGAAGATCACACACACACACAGCGCAGGACACACCATATAACCCTGTACAGACGAGGCTGGAGTCGGCTAGTTGTTCGAATTTCCCCGTTCCACCTTAAGTGGTATGTATCTACTGCAGCATTTAAGGTGGAACGGGAAAATTCGAACAGGAAGCTGACTTCGGAGTGTTTCAATGTCGGTTACAATCGGGTATGCATGTAACAATGCTCGTAGTTTGACATTACGTCATTATAATCAAACAGTATAGGCAGTTTGACTCAATACACTGACTCGGTGGACGCTCGGTTACCATTAGGTTTAACTGGGTGTGCATTAATATTCATACCAGTTACATCAGCCATACAAGAACCTCGGCTGATCAAACACTGCGTGTTCTCTGTTCTCGCGGTGGAGCATGTATTACTAATGTCTGACTTTGGTTCAGAACCGACTAAGAAGAAAACAGAAAACAAAATATGAATGTAAACAGATGTTTACAGTATATTGTATGTAGTTTCGTAACTTCATGTTCACAAAAGTTATTAAATATTGAATAAGGTGTCTAAAACATTTTGAAGAATAGTTTGTAGTAAATGATAATAATAATGTAATAATATCATGTAAAAAATAACAAGATTGATGAAGTTCAGAAATTTTGAATGGCATATTTATGAGTTGCATTCCAAAATGCTTTATATAACACAGCTTTTCGTTAATAAATCTGTGTTTATTTCTTGAAGAAAATTGATACTAATTATAATATAGCATTAATATTTGCTGGATGTAATGTTAATGTAAATCATGAAAAAAGGAAGTTAATGTAAGTGATGTTTACTGTGAATTGTACACATATATATGTGCACGTGTGTGTGTGTGTGTGTGTGTGTGTTGGTCACTGTCAGAACATTGTATCCCTTTATAACTGTATAACTTTACAGGAAAAAGAACAAACATCCTTAATTATTAATAATTTTAATGAAAGTTCATGAAGCCAGACTTTTTTGCATTCAGACCATTTCTGTTCCAAAAAGTACAAACTGACAAAAACAAGAGATACAATGTTTTGTCACAACAATGACTCTGTATACGTTTCTGTATTCACTGTCCCTCTTATCAGCTCCACTGGCCGTATAGTTTGACTGTGTAGTTCTGCAGTTACAGACTGTAGTCCATCTGTTTCTCTGATACTTTGTTAGCCCCCCTTTTACCCTGTTCTTGAGTGGTCAGGACCTCCATGGACCCTCACAGAGCAGGTACTATTTGGGTGGTGGGTCCTTCTCAGCATTGCAGTAACACTAACACTGTGGTGTGTTAGTGTGTGTTGTGCTGGTCTGAGTGGATCAGACACAGCAGTGCTGCTGGAGTTTTTAAACACCTCAGTGTCACTGCTGGACTGAGAATAGTCCACCAACCAAAAATATCCAGCCAACAGCGTCCTGTGGGAAGCGTCCTGTGACCGCTGATGAAGGACTAGAGGATGACCAACACAAACTGTGCAGCAGCAGATGAGCTATCGTCTCTGACTTTACATCTACAAGGTGGACTGACAAGGTAGGAGTGTCTAACAGAGTGGACCACACACAACACACACTAACACACCACCATCACATCAGTGTCACTGCAGTGCTGAGAATGACCCACCACCCAAATAGTACCTGCTCTGTGAGGGTCCATGGGGGTCCTGACCACTGAAGAACAGGGTAACAAAGTATGCAGAGAAACAGATGGACTACAGTCTAACTGTAGATCTACTATACGGTCAGTGTATGTGATGTAGAGCTCAGTGAGTGTATATGTGTGTTTAATCTTCTTCACTTTGCTGTTACTAACATTTCTCACTTCTTATTGAGTTATTTTATTTTATCTTGCCTGTGTTAACATGATAATCATCTCCTTCTTCCTGCTCTGCAGCCTGTATTGATGAAGCTTTTGCTGTGCTCACTCACTGATCATTCTGATCATTAATATGCTTTAAGCTGCTTGTTTTGACCCCTAGTCTCTGCTCCCACTGTAGAGCACTGACTGAGTGAAGCTGGCTGAGCACTCCTCTCTCATTATGTTGTCTCCTTCTCAAGGGAAACTGGTCCGAAACGGCAAGGAGAGGAAGTCGGTGGTGAGTGTCTGTCAGAACGTGGTACATACACCCATACAGCATAAGCATAGGAATATTCCAGGTATTTCTACACTGAAAACTGACATTTAAGTAAATATTCTGTGATATCCAGAGCATAAGGAGAGTATTTTCCTCAGTGTGAAGGTCCTCACATAGGTTTTAGGTAAACTATTGTGTGCAGTAGCTTAAAGGACCTATAATGTGGGGGCAGTCGTGGGCTGGAGGTTAGGGAACCAGCCCTGTGACCGGAAGGTTGCCGGTTCGATCCCCTTAGCTGACAGTCCATGACTGAAGTGCCCTTGAGCAAGGCACCCAGCGCATGGATAGGGCTGCCCACCGCTCTGGGGAGGTGCCCTCACTGCCCCCCAGTGTGTGTGTTCACTAGTGTGCATGTATGTGGGTGTTTCACTGCACGGATGGGTTAAATGCGGAGGTCTAATTCCACAGTGTGCAAACACAGTTGGCTAATGGTTCTCAATTCAATTCAATGTGGAAGTAAAAGAGTTTGACGTGGTATATAAACATTGCTAAAGTTTTAAAACATGCTGTTCACTCTCCAGTCCATGTTTGGAAACTAAACTGCAAAAACAGCCCATTTCCTGTTTTTGTGATGTCACAAAACCAACACATTTACCTGCATTCACCTGTTCGGCCTGCACCAGTTTAGCCTCATCCACTCACACTGAAGTTATAAGGAGTGTTTCAGCCTGAACTGCTTTTCGAACAAGGCACAATACGGCACAGCCAATCAGAACAGAGCTTGTTTACGCATATCAGCTTTAAAGGTACAGAAACAAACACAGCCTGCTGTACTCTACGGGATAATGGCTAAAAAATGGTCATGGAAGAATCATTAGGTTTAGGTTCTACCTAAACCTAAACCCATGCAGACATTCAAAGTGGAGCTCAGGGGGGAAAAATAAAATGGGAGGAAAAAAGGAAAATATGGGCCCTTTAAATATAGCAAACATGTGAGTGTGTAGGCCACTAGAGGGCAGACTTTAATTGCTGATAGTCCACAGTAGTTTGCACTGGTGGGGGTGGACAGTTTAAAAACTTTAATGCAAATTAACACAGGTGTATTTAAGGTGTATTTAACGTCCAGTTTTACAGAATTTATATTTAACTCGTGTAACTCCTGCTTTAATTGTGTTTGTGGTCTATTAAAGCCAGTTTTTGCCAGGTAGGTGAAAAACATGTTTGTAATTGTTTTGTCCGCTCTCTGTTTCTATCTGTGATCTCTTCAAAATGCTAAAGTCTGGTTAACTTTATAAATATTGCGTTGTTGTGTTTGTAGATTTTCGTTGAGGGGAACATCGCAAGCGGCAAGACGACATGTCTGGAGTACTTCAGCAAAACCGGCAACATTGAGGTGAAATTTCAATAGCATATGAAGCCTCATCTGCCTCACCTCAGCTCCCCTGCCTCACTTGCCTCACCTCAGCTCACTTGGCAGTGTGCATGTGTGATGGTATCCGCTGTGAAAGTGAAGCACAAATACAGTGGGAGCAAACTTAAACTGAAGTCTATATGAATTACAGCACAAATATGTTCATTATTATACCTTAAAATGAAAACACTTCTTTATTTCATAACTGCTACCACATCTAACTGAATGTTTTTTATTCACTATTATCTTGTGGATCTAAAGGCTTTTCTTAAATGCAATGAAATAAATACCAAATGTGCTCCCTGTACACAGAATTATTTACAAAAACATTTCAAATTTATATAAAAAATGGGAAAATATACAAGACTATGCAAAAAATCTAAGCTGAGCACATTATTTAAAACTTTTATTTTGCCAGTAAGATGTTTTTGCTTGCAAAATCTCTGTATATCATCAGAATAAATACAGTAAAAAGTAACAATTTAGTAATAATAATAACAGTAAGAAAGGGAAAGTTGATTTTGATTGAAGCTAATAGCACTTCAAATGTTAAAGCACTTTGTAGAACATTGTTGATATTTAATAATTTAACTGTTTTTATAGTGATTCCAGGTAGTTGTTATGGTGTTCCAGTTTGTTGTTAGGGTGTTACTTAGTGGTTGCTAAGGTGTTGCTATGGTATCATATGTGGTTGCTGAGGTGTTCCTATGGTTATCGTATGTGGTTGCTGAGGTGTTGGAGGAGTACTGTAGAATAATTATAAGAAGATGAAGAGCATCATTTATACATAAAAATGTAGCTCAGAGTGATTCACTGTATAATTAAATGAAACAGTAAAGCAGTGAACATCAAACAGTAATCAGCAAATAATAAATATTTTTTTTAATAAAAGGTTTTATTGAAATAAAAACGTAGAAGGAAAAGAGAACTGCAGAAATAATTAAATTAGACAAAAAGAATACATAGAAAATGGAATAAAAAAGGAAGTTAAAACAAAAAAATAATAAAACAGAATTGTAAATCAATACAACAGAAATAAACAAACTCATAAAATGCTAAAATGAATAAAAATGTTTTTAATGTCATCAGAAATTTCCCGATTTCTTTTAATTGAGTTCCAGATTTCTCCAGCATCACATGGATTTATTAAAGTCCAGCAGCAGCTCCTGATTTAACATGGTGTAATATGTGTATGTATGATGTGTTATTATATGGTCAGCTATAGTGATCAGGATGTGGTTGATTATAGTGCAGATCAAATCACTCATTGCCCACAGAAAGTCATCTGCTGTTAAATCCACTGAACCCTGTTTATACTGAAGTAAACCGATTCTGGACTCTTGCAGGTGCTGACCGAGCCGGTTTCAAAATGGAGGAACGTGCAGGGACACAATCCACTGGTAAAGTTTTATCTCAGGAAAAGTTTATTGTGAATAATTTGTGAATAATGTGGATTATTTGAAGTTTATGTATGTCTGTCACTTTAATGTCACTTAAAATGTTTGTATGCGTTTACAATGTGTTAAGGCAATATTTTGAAATGATTTAAACATATTAAACAAGTGGATTTCTCCCAACCTGACAAGGTAGGTGTTTCTAATAAAGTGGCAAGAGAATGTATAGATGTAATATTTTCATCAGAAAACCACCGTTGGTAGAGTAACATAGTCCAGGAAAGGTTCAGCCTGTGTTTTATTTGTGAAATGTTCAAAAACATAAACAGGTGTTGCTTGGATAAAAGGAGCATGCAAGGGGAGCCTAGTTGTTTGTAAGCGAGCGTTTTCGAGGCTTGCCACAAATGCATCAGCAAAAAAATCCAACAGATTAAAAATAATATTTGTCAGCGAGGGATTGTGAAGATTTTAGGCATTTCATCCTCTACAGTGCATAATATCATCAAAGATTCGAGGAATTCAGAGAAATCTCTGTACGTAAAGGAAAAGGCCGAAAACCACAACTGGATGACTGTGACCTTCGACCCCTCAGAAGTCACTGCATTAAAAACCGGCATTTTTCTGTGGTGGAGATCATATGAGTTTAGGAATACTTCGAAAAAGCATTATTAATAAACACAGTCTGTTGCTGCAAAACTGTACTCTGTACAGCAGGAGTCAAATAGCAACACCGTCCAGCAACGCCGCCGACTTCTCTGGGCTCGAGCTCATCTGAAATGGACTGATGCTTAGTGTAAGTTTGTATTGTGGTCTGAGCTTTCAGATCATCCATATCCAGAGTGTTACCAGCGTAAAGTTTAAAATCCAGCATCTGTCATTTGGGGGGGGGGTGTTATTAGTGGGTAACCTGCACATCTGTGAAAGCACCATTAATGCTGAAACTGTGTGTTTTATTGAGCTCAGAATATGACAACAAAGGTCCCATATGGTTGCTCAGCTGAAGACAGAAGAATTACTATTAATTATTAAGTGCTGTTAAAGTAAAGATGCTGAGGTAAACAAGCTCCAGTCCCAGCCTTTTTGAATGTGATGCAGGCATCAAATTGAATGTATAATGAGTGTATATGTACAGAATCACTAAAGTTCATGCAGTAAAATTGTTTTTGTGCAGTTTTCAATTGAATACAGATCAAACAGTTTAGTCATTACTGCTTTGTGTTTTATCAGATTTTTTGGCAACTTTTTTGGAATTGGGTTTGCATAAATTTCTATATTTGTTTTGTCTTAGGCTTTGATGTATCAGGACCCGTCGAGATGGGGACTCACACTGCAGACATACGTACAGCTGACCATGCTGGACAGCCACCTGTCAACAATAGTATGTTTAAGCAATATTAGTTCAGTTTTAGGCTGTAGTGATTTCACAGTTTATAGTGAGGGTGGGCAGTATGACTATATGTTTTCGCTATTAATTCCATCATGATACTCTTTACTGAGTCTGTGGTGGGTGTGGTCAGTAGTTCTAGAACACTTGTATCTTATTTTAACTTATTTTTACAGATTGTTTGATTTTCCTCTCATACTGTAAACATTTAAATAAGTCTTTGTGCTTATGGACATTTTAAACTTTTAGTCTCTAACCACCTCCAATCAGCCTGACACTGTTCTACTTGATTTTAACTTTTAAAGTGATTTTTGTTAAGTTTTTAGTTATTGTTTCATTTTTATTATTTTGTTATTATGTATTTTAATATTGCCAAGCTATCGTTTTACATCTTTATTTTATTGATTGTCTTTTTTATTTATCCTTATTTTGACTTATTTATTAAGTTACTGCGTTTGTTTTTTGGTTTGTTGATTTAATTTTTTTTAATTTACTGCTATGATTATTATTACTTTTTAGCATTTGTTATGCTTTAACTTTGTAACTTCTCAATCAATGATTTCTGTATTGGCTCGGCTACACAGTAAATGAGGGGGTCTCCCTCAATGTACTCCGAGTTTAAATAAGGGTTGATTGGTTAATTGATATGTTATTAATTATAGTATAATTGTTCATTTTTTTCCTTAAAATTGTTTTTAAGGTCATGGTATATGCTCTGTATGATGTATTTTTACATTTGTTTTTCCTGTTTTCCAGACGGCGCCTGTGCGGATGATGGAACGATCCATTTACAGCGCGAAGTACATATTTGTGGAAAATCTTTATCGAAGGTACTGAGCCAGATGAATCAGCCGATAGAGGTTAAAGTGTGAAGTGTTGCAGTTACGCTGCATTGCTGTCTGTGTTTATTGACAGTGGAAAAATGCCTGAGGTGGACTTTGCCGTCTTGTCCGAGTGGTTCGAGTGGATTATCAAAAACATTGCCATTCCAGTGGATCGTATTGGTGAGATAAACACAGCAAAACACATGATTGATTAATTAATGTAGGTTAGAGTTCTTTATCTTTATTATCTGAATTAGAAAAGCTGCTTACCTTTATAGCAATGGAGTTACTTTATATTCGCACATCGTGAGAAACGCAGTAGTCAGTTAATTATCTAGAATTTTGCAATTAGCGTTTGCAGTGATTCGCAGTGACAAGACTGGAATCATGTCATATACATATTTTTAAATTTGCATATATATATTTGTATTCAGTATTTCTTATGTGTATGTAATCCCAAGAAAAATTACATGATGATGATTATGATGATGATACTGTTTACAATCATCTGTTTTGTTTTTGACAATTTGTCTACATCAAAATTTGACAATTTCTTCTGAAATATTAATTTTATTATAACTTTGATATATATTATATTAGAACTTCATTCTGGTTTGTTCTGAACGTTATTTTTTTTAGAATTTCATTTTGTTTGTTAACTTAATTAGAACTTCATTCTGTATGTTAATTTTATTCGAACTTTATTAGGTTTCTCAGTAAGTTCAGATCTAGAGCAGTAGTCTAGAACTGAAGAACCACACCGAGACAGACATCAGTTCATTTGTTTATGATGGAGTTGTTGACTGATGTTTATTCTTTGAGTGAAATGTTTATTTATTGCTTTTTATGTATGGCTGTATTTCTGTATTGTTGCTTTCACTGCATCCAGAATGTAACAGTTAATTCAGTCAATACTTACAAGTAATTTGGGAGCATTTCTATTTGTCTGTTTATCATCAAAGTGTAATACAATGTAAAAGACAGCTGGATTTTCAAATAAAATGTGGATATAAGCTGTTAACTGTATTATCTGTAATTTTGCTCTTTTCTGCTCCAGTTTACCTGCAGACGTCTCCACAGACGTGTTACGAGCGGCTGAAGCAGCGCTGCAGAGAGGAGGAGAAAGTCATTCCTATAGTACGACTGACGGTGCACCCATAACACACCAGTGCACATCATAGAGATGAAGGGTTGTTTTGTCTTGGAGAGGGAAAAAAAAATTAATTTAATTTTTTTTCCTTGTATTTTGTTTTTCTCCTGACGTCCACTTATAACCTTTGAGGTTTTGTGTACCAAAAACAGTTATCATTCATTTTTATATGACTATTTTCTAGCTGCACTGAATTGAACAGGCTGTTTTTGTTACTGTGATATATATTTTAATGAGCTCTGTTCTGATTGGGTGCTCTGTATTGTGTCTCTTTCAGAAAGCACTTGGAGCTGAAACACTGCTTATAACTTAAATGCAAATGCAAACAGCTGTAGGCTGAATGGGTGTGGCTAAACTGCTGTAGGCTGAACGGGCGTGGCTAAATTGTTGTAGGCTGAATGGGTGTGGCTAAACTGCTGTAGGCTGAACGGCCGTGGCTAAACCGCTGTAGGCTGAATGGGCGTGGCTAAACTGCTGTAGACTGAATGGGCAGGGCTAAACCACTGTAGGCTGAGTGGTTGGATATATGTAAGATAGTTGGTTCTCATGACATCACAGAAAAAACTAATTTAAAGCAGCTTGTTTTTGCAGTTTAGGTTCTGTATATGGAGTGTAGTGTTCACAGAATGAATGTATGTTTTGACAGTGTTTACATACAACATCTAACTCCTTTATTTAAATAAAGTGAGGTAAATACAGTTTTCTGTGATTATGGGCCCTTTAATGCACGTTACCTAATTAACGATGTAAATGTGCCAAATTGCTCATATTTATCTGCTGTCTAAACAACACATCAAATTCAACCCATAAACACAAACACAAGACACAGAACAGAAAATATGATTGAATGTTTTGTTGTCAGATTTGAGTATAAACATATTAAAAAAAAAAAAATCAGTTTTTCAAACTTAGTTTTTATTTTTCATTGATTTTATATTATTTTTATATTTCTTATTTGCACCATTCTTATGTTTAATTTGGAAGCTGACCTTGTCTTTCTGAAAGTTTTGATCTAAATATGAACAAATTATTAATTAAAGTCATCTCTGCTGTTCAGGAGTATCTGGAATCCATTCATAATCTGTACGAGGACTGGCTGATAAAGCAGACGTCGTTTAAAGTTCCTGCACCAGTGCTTGTGAGTAATATTATTATATGTTTATATTATTATTATATGTTATATTATTAATGTTATTATATTTTATTAGTTGGTTATTGATCAGAGATCACTGTGATGAAAACAGCAGTGTGTAACATTCTGAAACCTCATGTTTCAAAGAGATGATCTTTACGCCGATTATTTTTTGTAACGTAGCACGCATTCCTTTAAAAGCGCTCTCGTCTCCTCCGCAGTGCAGCTCCGCCTCCACCTTGCTGTTTAGGTTTGAGTTTGTTGAGGGAAATCTGTCACGACCAGTGGTGGACAGTAACGAAGTAAATGTAATCTGTTCCTGTACTTAAGTAGTTTTTTCATGTATCTGTACTTTACTGAAGTTTTTCCATTTTGGGCGACTTTTTACTTTCACTCCACTACATTTCAGAGTCAAATATCTCACTTTTTACTCCACTACATTCTGAGAAATCTGTCATGTCAAAACAAAAGAAGCGTGAAGCAAGAACACCAATCAGGGCACAGCGGTCACTTTGTTTTGAGCTTGTTTTGACCTGTTGGTCATACCGACCCAGTGCAGCACATGGTTCAACATCAGTGCAGCAGCGTAAAGTTTTGGGAGAGTCTATTCAACATAAATGATGAACTAACCTAACTTTGTGTAAATAAACCACAATATAGAAATATGTACTCATATGCAGTTGTGACTGACGTGTCTTTATTCTGAATTTATACAAACACATTTCATTTTATAGTAAATTAGTTTTGTCTAGTTTATGTTTATGAACAGAGACCTACAGATGCAGTTTAGTAAAGGAAACTCATTTGTGAATCTGAGTTTAAAGTTTTTATTAAACTTAAATTTGTAACTCAGTTCAAATAAATCTTACACTGAAACTTTGCTTGTTTGTAAAAAGTGATTTCAGAGCCACTCAGTTTTGCCTGATGGAAACTGTTTGCCTTCAGTGTTTTGTGCTTATGATAATATTAATAGACATCAGCGTCACTAATTAATGACTCTATTAAAAGACTGGTTTACCAAGAGAGACACTGGAGTATTTTCACCTAAACTGAGTTAATGAAGCGAGTCTTGTTATAAAAATGATAATAGGACATCAGAGCCATAATTAATCTTTTAGTACTTTCACTTTTGATACTTAAGTACATTTGAAGGCAAATCCTTCTGTACTTTTACTCAAGTGGAGGTCTAAAGGGAGGAACTTCTACTTTTACTGCAGTAATATTTTACCTCTCTACTTTAACTCAAGTACATGGTTTGTGTCCTTCATCCACCACTGCTCACGACACTACATTTATGCAGAAATGTGTTATTTATTCCAAAAAAATATAAATTTTGAGGTACTAACAAACAACAAATTATTTGAATTTGAGTTGAAAAAGAAAAGATATATTGACCACATTCAGTAAATATTACAGACAATTTCCATTTTCTTATACATAATTTTTGAATGTTTTCTGTTATAAATAATCCTTTGTGAGTTATTCAGTTGGATTATTTACGAATTATCTTGATTATCTTTTGTTTTGTGTAACACACTGAACACATTAATACAGTCAGTCATAAAGAGCTGTTCACAACCAATACAGAGAGAGAAAACACTTAATGTCATTTTTCTACAAATTTTAGTTCTACACTCTTAAAGATGGTTCTTCAGGGGTTCTTCAGTAAAGAAAATGCTTCTATTTAGAACCATAAGCACTCAAAAAACCCCATGCCTGATCAAAGATTCTATATATAACCTTGAGCACTCAAAGAACCCTTTGCATGATTAAAGAGTTCTTTGCAGCGTCAAATGGTTCTTCAGATTGATGGAGAATGTGTTGTAGATGGTTCTATAATCTAGCCTTTTTGAAAAGGGTTCTTCTATTGTTACAAGGTCAAGCCTGTATATAATAGTAGAAACCTTTATGGTGCTATATGGAGCCCTTTTCATAAAGCTTCTATATACAACCATCTATGGGTTCTTTGAGTGCTCAAGGTTATATATAGAATCTTTACAGAAGATCCATCTTTTTAAGAGTGTATTTATTTGCTGAGTTTTATTTTATATTGGGGGGAAAAAATAAAACAAAGTATAAAATGCCCAATAACTTTTGTACAGTCCCACATTTTATGTTCTCTTCCTCCCCACTGTGTTAAATTCAGTAAATAGACAGTTATTGTGTATTAAAACATGCAGAAGTGTGACTTATTTACACTTAGAAAATCCAACAACATGAAACTTTGTTTAAACTTTTGCATAAAACTGTATGTATAAGTGAGCAATTCTGTATGACCGACGGTGCGTATTTGGAGGGACTAGTGCAGGGGTCTTTAATTAAAATTCAATAATGTCCAGTTAGAGAAAAGTTCCTCAAGCAAAGGTCCAGAACATCATAATGTCTAACCTGCATCATGATTCAGTGCCATATACTGTTTACTGAAGTAGCCTAGTAGTTATATCAACATCTTATAGTCAACAACTGAATGTCAAATCAAATAAAGTACAGTTCAGTCATATTTCAACAACATTTATTGTCAGTTTTCTCTTTTTAGAGCACAACGTGTGAAATAACTTCCCTCTGACTCACTTTCATCTCTGACTGCTGTGTCTCGCCTCGTCCCTCCCCTGTGTGTGTGTCACTCCCTCGAGTCTCAGTGCTCATCGTAATGCACTGATCTGATTGGCTGAGTAGCGTCACGTGTGATACTTACAACGCATGTGATTGGTCTGTGAGTCTCCTGGGCCGCTAAAGCAGCACCGTAAAGGCTAGAAAAGCTACGCCGATTAAAATAGGACCACCCCATCAAAATTAAAAAATTCTCCATAGTTTATCAGTTATAGGTCCAGGTCTGCCCAGGACAGCGTCTGGATCTGGACTCGGACCGCGGTCCGCCTATTAGTGACCTCTGGACTAGAGGAATAAATGCAGTTGTATTTTTTGTTCAAGAATTTTATTTTTGCTTGTTTTAGTAATTTAATGAATTATAAAATTACAAATGAATGCGGTTTAATTAAAATATTCAGATTGAATGTCCCACTAATGAACACAAAGAGATGATCTTTATGCGAGAGTCATTGAGGTCTTTCACATTTGACTGAGTACGACCTGTTTATCTGTATTTGTATTTGTTGTTTGTTTATGTGCAGGTGATCCCGGCTGATCACGACGTCCAGAAGATGCTTCATCACTACGAGGAGAACCGAGAGAGGATTTTAACAGCAGGGCAAGAGTGAACCCTGTGAAGAGGAGAAATGTCTGAGAAGAAGAAGAAGAACCGTTAAACGTTTACTTAAATGCTGTTTCAGTTTATATCCGTGTTCTTTCTGTTCCTGGACTATCTAACGCCCCTCTATCACACAGTTCAGTGTTTTCTGCTCTAACAGGCTTATTTTAAGCTAATGAGTGCTTTGTTGACTGACCTGCTTCTCCAAAAGTGATGACATGGCAAGTGAAAGGATCTTAAATGTTGTCAACTTCACCGTATATAGACTACATTTAGGTGCTTTACTTGTCAAGATATAATTTTAGCAGTGAATTGAAGCTCCGCCCACAAATGTGTTCTTTCATACCTGCTGTTGTGAGTTTGAGCTTTACAGAAAGCTGGTAAAAATCCCATTCAGCCTAATGAGAAACTGTAGAACAGACTCAGTTTATATCACAATACCTACATTTAGAGTCGGTTATTCATCCAACCTTCTGAGAAACTGTAGAACAGACTCAGTTTATATCACAATACCTACATTTAGAGTCAGTTATTCATCCAACCTTCTGAGAAACTGTAGAACAGACTCAGTTTATATCACAATACCTACATTTAGAGTCAGTTATTCATTCAGCCTAATGAGAAACTGTAGAACAGACTCAGTTTATATCACAATACCTACATTTAGAGTCAGTTATTCATTCAGCCTAATGAGAACCTGTAGAACAGACTCAGTTTATATCACAATACCTACATTTCGAGTCGGTTATTCATTCAGCCTAATGAGAAACTGTAGAACAGACTCAGTTTATATCACAATACCTACATTTAGAGCCAGTTATTCATTCGACCTAATTAGAAACTGTAGAACATGAGTTTATATCTAACATAACTGACTCTAAATGTAGGTATTGTGATATAAACTAAGTCTGTTCTACAGTTTCTCATTAGGCTGAATGGATCTTTCCAGCTTCTGTAAAGCTTGTCCAACCTCACAGCAGTAGCTATGAAAGAACACATTCGTGGGCGGAGCCTGGAGAGGATAATGGTCTAATAATAATAGCGGGTCAGATTTGTTTGCAGTCCAGGCTTTGTTTCTGCTTATTTATGGGGTCACATGACCCAGACAGTTATATGATGCTACTGTTTAAGTTTTTATCTACACTGCAGTCCATCTACAGTAACACAGTATGATAATTACACTAGTGTATTATACGTTTGTCATTTACTGAATTGCCATATTAGCTTATTTGTTGTGTTTCAGCTTAAATTTTGTCATACAGGTTCATTTGGATCATATGCATCTAAACCAAAACATTTTCTAATACTGGATATAAAATCATTCTACAAGTTCTTTGAAAGATTTCTCTTATTGTTTGGGTACCATAACGTGCACAGACTCTGTGATGTGAACTCAAATTCAAAACAGGAGAGTTTTTTTATTATTTAAAAGTTTATTTGTTTGTGTAAAAAGGAACAGTTCTCATTAAGAATGGCACTTGTGATTTGAAGACCAACATAAACCATCATTGAGAAAAAAAATCCATCTACTGTTTGTTTTACATAATTATTTTGTATGGTTTTAGTTTAAAATCTAATAAACAGGTACACGTTTTAACAACCGTCAATTTTCTTCATTTATTTAAATAAAGTTGCATTTTTTGACAGAATATTCAATGAAAAGCAAATTCCCACGTTTACATAGACTGAGACTGAAACACAAACATTCTAGAAACTCAACAGTGTGGAAGTGCAAACGTTGCTTTGATTCATCATCAAGTAAGGCACAGAAGTATCAAGACAAAAATAATAATAAAAAGGAATAGCACTAACAATCTTCCTTCACCTGAGAAATAAAGATTTAAAAACTATTTAAAAAATGAATTTAAAAAATAAAAAACATTTTCTAAATTTTGGTATAATTAAATGGCTAAACTGTAAACGTTCAGAGTGGTTTGGTGTGAAATGCCCTGTTCTAGAGAAACTTAGAGTCAGAAATGGTCACAGTGGTGGTGACAGGAACCAGGGGCACTATTAAATTCTTAAGTCTGAGATCATATCTGCTTTGTTGTCATGGCAACTATAGTTAAGACTGAAGTTAGGACAGAAGCCATTAGAGAACAACAGTTCTGAAGTCTATAATCTTATTTCCAGATTAGAAAACGGTTTTACAGAAACATCCTAAGGTGCCAAAATATCCTAAATATTGTCTTAACTTTAAGATGAACTCCAGAGCATCTTAACTTCTGTTTAACCGTCTGGTTCTGTTGTTTTATGCAGTGACCTGCAGTTTAGTTCACTATAACCAGCATAATGACGCCACATTTTTCTACACTGAAAACGGAGCTTTGACTTATGTGGGGTTTTTTCAAAGCCCCGGACGCTGCAGACTCGATCTCCACCGCCCCTCTGATTACCTTCGTGTGTTAATGTTGATGATGAAATATTACAGTGATGGTGGTGAATAATGAGGAGGCGGAGCTGAACGTGTGTCTGTTTATCAGGAGGAGTAACGTTAGCGCGCTCAGCTAAAGCGTTTGGGAAATGAAGACTGAAACTGTGGAGCGGCGACGCTCTGATAAACAGCTGGGGGCGCTCTCACAGTATTCACAACTTATCGCGCTTTAATTTGACCTTGTTTACCTCAGTAACGGTAGCTAACGTTAGCTGTCTGACTAACTTGATTACATGTTTACGTTTCAGCTGTGCGTGTATGATCGGTTGCTAGGTAACAGACAGGTCAGTTGATTGTCGACTTCAATTGAGTAAGTTAAGTTTTCTTAACTTAAGACAAGAAAAGATGCTGTAAGATAAGATTGTTAAGATCAGATTTACTTCTGTAATACGAATTTGTGAAAAATCCTATCTTGACCTGTCGGATCTTAATTTAAGACAAAAAGATAAGACTTTTCTGTAATATGGTCAGAAATTCGGATTGCAGAAACAAATTTACCTTAATTTAAGAATCTTATCTTACAGCATCTTATCTGAAGTTAGGAAATCCTAACTTACTCGATCGAAGTCGACAATCAACTGTCGTGTCTGTTACCTAGCAACCGACCATACGTGCACAGCTGAAATGTAAACACGTAATCAAGTTAGTTAGCCAGACAGCTAACGTTAGCTACCGTTACTGATGTAAAAAAGATCAAATAAAACTAAAGCGCGATAAACTGAAAGTTAAGAATATTATGGCGCTTGGTGCTGCTTATCAGAGTCGCCCCTCCACAGTTTCAGTCTCCATTTCCCAAACGCTTTAGCTGAGCGCGCTAACGCTACTCCTTAACTGAAGTTACCATGAAAACAAAGCAGATCTCAGACTTAAGTATTTTCTGTAACATGGCCCCAGACGTCCACCTCTACAGGCTCCCTCACAATAAAGTTATTTTCCATCATCAACATTCCATATAAACTCAGAAGACTCGTGTAGGTTCACTGGTGGTTTTTGATAGTAAATAAAGTGTCTATATTTGTGTTGTAGTCATGGCGACCCCTGGTTCCTATCACCACCACTGTAAAGACATCTGAACCATTTCACACCAAACCACTCTGAATCTCTCTGTTTACACTCAACAATGCAGAAATAAAAAACAATAATAATAAAATCAGTGGAGTTCCCCTTCAGCTGTGGCTAACAACACATTATGGATCAGTAGTTCTTTTTCAATAGACAGTATTATTCTAGAACTGTAAAAACAAGCCATTAGCAGTCTGAGAGTAGGGTGGTGCAGGTGTTGGCCAATGAATTTTCCGGCCTAAAAAGGTCCCAGGCCCAGTTTCCCAAAAGCATCTTATTAAGATCGTCTCATCTGATAGAGAGAGAGAGTGCTCAGTGTGATGCTCGCTCTACCATTTCAGAATCGTCTTTGTGCTGAGATGCTCATAACATTCTAGTATCGCTGAAGCAGCTAATCGAAACCCCGGTGTGATTGTTTTTGCTGTAAATTTGACCTTCCTGATTCCAATGTGGATAAACTAACATTATCAAGAACCATGTTTACAAGCACTCATAGCACCACAGCACCTGATCCCAGTAGTTCTCATTTTTAAAGTATTAATTTGGAGAAAATCCCCCTTAAATGTAGTCGATGAGACAGGAACGGCATCACTGTTTGGTGTCTGGAGTTTGCTTCTTCAGTTTTAGCATTGCAGCTACAAGGCTAATATAGTTAGGAAGTGATGGAAGGTTATGTAAACGAATTAGCATGATGCTAACTGCATGCTTAAATCACAACATTAGCTCAAACTGTTTGAAGACGTTCAATAATCTCTAATAGACTTGATGATTTTCTATAAAGATGGACTGAAGTACGACAGGGAGGTGGCTGCTGGTTTTTAGCTTCAGGATGGACCAGTGTTCACTTTGAAGTCACAGAGAACACTGTCTAAACGTTAAAAATGCTTGTATGATATTAAAAGTGAGTGTAATTAAACATCCAGCAAAATTTCTATGAAAAAAGGAATGAGATCAGACCTGTCTGAGAATGATCTGGGCGTGGTCTAATATTCTAACGAGTGCATGTGATTGCCAGCTGGTTATCTGGACAAATGGACCAACGGACCAACAAAAACACGGATAACAGACAAAAGAGCTTGCTTGTTAGCTCAGTTATGCTAGCTAGGTTAGCTTTTGCTTGGTGGTTAGCTTTCACTCTAACCCTACGTTCACACCGGCAGCGACTTTTCGCCTCTTGTCGCCCAAATTGTGCTATTCATCAATGATATAATGTTAATGTTAAAAAGAAGGTTCTTCAGGGGTTCTTCAGTAAAGACAATGGCTCTGTATAGAGAATGAATACTCAAAGAACCCTTTGCATCAGATTGATGGAGAATGTGCTGTGGATGGACCGTTGTGAAAAAAGGGTTCTTCTATTGTTACGATATCAAACCTCTAACAACAGAAGAACCCTTTTTGGTGCCATGTAGAGCCATAAAGCACATTCTCCATCAATCTGAAGAACACTTTAACGATGCAAAGCACCTTTTAATCATGCAAAGGGTTCTCTGAATGTTCAGGGTTCTATATACAACCATTTTCTTCACTAAAGAACATGTACATTAACCTCATAGCTCCAGCGCTAAAACGAAAGCAGACTTTAGCAAACATGTCTTGGCTGATCGACTAACTTTGGTGCAAGTTGGGAAAAAACGGTACGTTTTTTGGCCGAACTATCGCTTTAATGAACGTAAGCAGGTGTTGTGCAGGAGTGCAGCCGTCGCAGAGTCTCAGAGCACGACGAAGGTTTGTACCAGGTCGTCCTCAGGCTGCTGCGTTGGGCTCCTGTGGAGCTGCAGGCTGGAGCCTTCGCTGCAGTTCTGATCGTGGCCTGCAGGGGCCGCCAGTGCGGCGCTACATCCCCTCAGACAGTTTGGGATGTAGAAGGAGTGCGGAGGCTCTTTAATGGGGTCGCTCGGCTGGAGCTCAGCAGCAGAACCCGAGCAGCTTCCGCAGCCGGTGATGCTACACACGGGCTGCTGGGACGGCCGGCACAAAACCGGCGGGCTGTTCTCCTCGGGATGGCGCAGGGGGGAGACTGGGATAAACTCTGTGCACCCCGGGCACTGCTGGGCCTGCGCCGTCTCCTCTATGGGGTATTTTAGAGGCTCGTCGGCGCTGAACTCCTTCATCTGCAGTTTACACATCCTCTCCGTCAGCTCCGACACCAGACCGTCGTCTGGCGAGGCCTCCGAGCTGAAGCCTGGACTCTGTAGCACTTTACCTACACGAAGCACAAAGGGCTGCTTTTCCTCTGCGGTCCGAGGCTCTGTGGGCTAAACAGAAAGACAGACATCAGTACTACAGTAAAAAATAAGATTTAAATCTATATCTAAACTCAAATGACTCAGATTCCATGCTTTCATTGATTTTCTGAGTGTAAATAAGTCACACATCCTCTACAGAGACACACTTCTGCACATTTTAATACACAGTTACTGTTTATTTACTGAATTCAACACATTTTATATTTTATTTTTTCCCAATACGTTACATCAGCAAATAAACAGAAGTTGTGCTTTAAAATGTGCAGAAAAATGCCATATTTAAGTGTTTAAGATGTGTTTACTAACCAGGGGTGTATGACAATATCACATATTTATTGTGTTTTTTATTAATTCCTGGTTTTTACTTACGTTTTAATCACAACTTTTATTAGTTTTTGTTGCTTATTTTACTTTTCACCATTACTGTATTTTTATTTAATTGTACTATTTTTGCTGTTTCATGCTGTGATTTTATTTTTATATCATTTTTGTCTTTTAATTTTCTGTGAAGCACTTTAAGCTGCATTATATGTAAGTCAAGGCGCAACACAAATAAATATAACTATTATAAATTTATAGAAATCCATGAAATCTACTAACAGGGGAATGACACAAAATTAAAGACTTGCATGTGTATATGAATTCATAACCATGTCATGCAACAACTTGGTAAGGATGTTCTGGTACCTTCGGGCAGCAGGAGAGCTTTGCTCTCATGCTTCTCAAGTAGTGAAGCCACAAATCGCCACAAATTCTCTAAACGTCTTTCGTTCTTAACTTTTTATCTATGTTAATACTAACACATTAATACTAGGGCTCGACTGAAATGAAGATTTTGTAGTCAATACTTAAACCGATTGTAAGCAGCTAAAATTTCTGATAATCAATACTACTGGTTGTTATAATTATGTGTATATTAATATGTTAGAATTCAGTGAAATGAATGAAAATAACACCTTTATAACAAGAATAAAAAAGATGTGAATCCATGGCTGTATAGGGCTTCTGTAAATTAGCTCTTATTTATCTTATATATATATATATATATATATATATATATATATACACATTTATATATATATACACACATATATGTGTGTGTGTGTGTGTAAAACACATCCATATCTATCTTTAAGAATGACGATAACAAAACTTTTGTAACAAAAATTTTCTTTATGACAATAACCAAGTAAAAGAAGATAAATAAGAGCTCATTTACAGAAGCCCTATACAGCCATGGATTCACATCTTTTTTATTTTATTTTTGTTATAAAGGTGTTATTTTCATTCATTTCACTGAATTCTAATATATTAATATACACATAATTATATCAACCAATAGTATTGATTATCAGAAATTTTACCTGCTTACAATCGGTATAAGTATTGACTACAAAATCTTCATTTCAGTCGAGCCCTAGTATTAATGTGTTAGTATTAACATAGATAAAAAGTTAAGAACGAAAGACGTTTAGAGAATTAGTGGCGATTTGTGGCTTCACTACTTGAGAAGCATGAAAGCAAAGCTCTCCTGCTGCCCGAAGGTACCGGAACATCCTTACCAAGTTGTTGCATGACATGGTTATGAATTCACTGCCTGATGACTGAGACACTGTTTTAGATAGTTTTGAGAACTTAAACTCCATTCATGGTGGAGGGATACATAATATGCAGGGCGTTATGAGGCAAAATAGTCCCCAGAGAAAACTGATTATTTCAGATCTTCCACTATTTTTCCATCATCAACATTCCATATAAACTCAGAAGACTCGTGTAGGTTCACTGGTGGTTTTGATAGTAAATGAAATGTCTATATTTGTGTTGTAGTCATGCCGACCCCTGGTTCCTATCACCACCACTGTAAAGACACCTGAACCATTTCACACCAAACCACTCTGAATCACTCTGCTTACATCTCTCTCAGTCCTACCTCTAGTTGCTCTGGGATTTGTAGTTTTCTGTGAGCGGCGGTAGATTCTGTGTGCAAAGCGATGGACTGTGGGCCGCTCAGGTCAGTATCTACTGCGTGAAGATGAGCTGATGTAGCTTCTCTGCACCCAAGGCGGTCTTTACTCTTTGGAGACGGGGCTGATTTTTGAGATTTCCTGAAAATGGGCTTCAGGCGGAATGCCAAGTCTGGGTAATTCTCCTGCATCTCCAGAATGGACCGGTCTTCACTCATGAAGGACCTGGAGGACCTTCCCTCTTCAGTATCTGTGTTCTTCTGGACATCCAGGTTTGAAGGTTTGAGGCTTTGAAGGCATTCAAGGTCCTCTGCTGGCACTGGACTCGACTTAGGGCCAGAGTGAAGCGGCCTGTCGTCCTCCAGAACCTCCTCCTTCACATAACTGGCTTCACTCTCACGTTGTTCCTCAGCGACATTCCCAGAACCGCCCGGAACATTAAGAGAAGCAGCTTTTTTGTGGACGATTTCCAAACATTCAGCGTGAGACTTCTGACCCATGGCCTCCAGAAGATGCTCACATTCTAACCTGGCGAGAAAAAGCTCAAAGCCCATTCTTTTAGCCACGTCTGGATCAGCATCGTCCGCCAGCACGTACTCGGTGTCCGTCTCCAGGCGGTAGCCGATACTCTGGAGGATGCTCTGGATGGTTTGCTTTGGGAGTCCAGGTTCAATGTAGTAGACAAAGTGACCTGTGAATTTCTAAAACGAACACAAGAACATCTGGATAAATCACTAACAGGGGGAGCCGAGGGGTCCTGGACCCCCTATTTGAGCAAAAGGACCACTAATAAGAAACAAAGAACTGAACAACTGTTGGTTCACAGTAGGGGTGGGCAATCTGACGATATTTTATCACTATCATGACCATTTCTGTTATCGTGATACACAATGCGCATGTCTGAGCACATCGTGGTTAGAGAACACGGAACAACTGCATGTTTATTACAAAGAGAGCCTAATTAGTCCTGTTTATCTGGATTTAGTGCAGCGCGGTGAGTAAAATGTTATAATCATTGTATTTATACTTTTTTATCACATCTTCAAATGTGATACTATCAGGAAGACAAAATATCATGATACATATTGTCTATTGTGAACATTTGGTTAATTATTGGATATTTTGTCCACCACTCATTCAGAGCACTGCGAATCAATGAGTGTGATTACATGCACTCAATAATCCGATCATAATCTGATTTCTGCTGTTACCTGATTATTCAAATGGCTGTGTAAGCAACACTCTGATTTCTTAGATTGGAGTAAGGTCTAGAAATCCGATTAAGAAATCAGATAAAGAGGCTGGATTTCAGCTCAGTAATCAGATTTCTCAGTGCATGTGAACTCTTACTCTGATTTCTTTCGGATTTCTCAGTCTGAGCATGTGCGGAAACAGATGCCGGTACCGGAAATAAGCGAGCAGAAACCAAATACACGCTTGACGAAATGAAGGATTTACATATTCTTCACCTTCTACATCACGTCTTCTTCTGTGAGTTTATTGGCTGGTTGTAAAGCAGAAATCTGATGGTTCTTGGCACCATGAAAGCGTTCCTCAAACTGATGGAGAATGTGCTGTAGACAGTTCTGTATGGAACCTTTTTGAACAGGGCTCTCTATAGCACTAAAAAGGGTTCTTCTGTTGGTACAACGTCAAGCTGGTTACAATAGAAGAACTTTATTTGGTGCTGTTCAAAAAGAATCCATATAGAACCATCTAGAACCCTTTCATGGTGCCAAGAATCATTTAAGCATGCCAAGGGTTCTTTGAGTGTTTATGGTTCTACATAGAGCCATTTTCTCTACTAAAGAACCCCTGAAGAACCATCTTTGTAAGTGTGTACAACCTTATATTGGTATAATGACAATAAAGTTGAACTGAATTTAATATTTTGCTATTGTACTTTGTGATTATAAATAATAATAAAAAAAAATATATATATATATATATATATATACTTTTACCCTGTTCTTCAGTGGTCAGGACCCCCATGGACCCTCACAGAGCAGGTACTATTTGGGTGCTGGATCATTCTCAGCACTGCAGTAACACTGACGTGGTGGTGGTGTGTTAGTGTGTGTTGTGCTGGTCTGAGTGGATCAGACACAGCAGTGCTGCTGGAGTTTTTAAACACCTCAGTGTCACTGCTGGACTGAGAATAGTCCACCAACCAAAAATATCCAGCCAACAGCGTCCTGTGGGCAGCGTCCTGTGACCACTGATGAAGGTCTAGAAGATGACCAACACAGACTGTGCAGCAGCAGATGAGCTATTGTCTCTGACTTTACATCTACAAGGTGGACTGACAGGGTAGGAGTGTCTAATAGAGTGGACAGTGAGTGGACACAGTGTTTAAAAACTCCAGCAGCACTGCTGTGTCTGATCCACTCAGACCAGCGCAACACACACTAACACACCACCACCACGTCAGTGTTACTGCAGTGCTGAGAATGATCCACCACCCAAATAGTACCTGCTCTGTGAGGGTCCATGGGGGTCCTGACCACTGAGAACAGGGTAAAAGGGGGCTAACAAAGTATCAGAGAAACAGATGGACTACAGTCTGTAACTGTAGAACTACAAAGTGCACCTATATAGTAAGTGGAGCTGATAAAATGGACAATGAGCGTAGAAACAAGGAGGTGGTCAGAATGTTACGCCTGATCGGTGTACATATATATTTACATATATGTATATGTGTGTGTGTTAAACTAATTGGCCCATTATTATGAAAAAAAACATTGATAACCATCAAAGACTTGAAAAATGATTCAGCAAAAACAATAATAATCCAAATACGTATCAAAGTCAGACGCTCCACCAAACCATTAGCATTAGCATTAGCAGTGTTTACACAACACGTGTGACCTATTTCAGATCAGCACTGGGGAACAAAAACACGCTTAGTTTCACTTCTTTGAAGATATGCAGGCCGAAACTACAGCCTGGAAGCAGCTCTGACATCACACGAGTTTTATAATTACACACGATGGATTATAATTAACGAGTTAATGACTGTTAATCAGTCTTACTGCAGATCTAATCAGACCCAACTCCTTCCTCCATCAGAGGCTCCTGAAGGTTCATCAGACCAATCAGGTTTTCCATGAGGAGAGCAAAAAGAGCTAAACCTGCTCAGTGTAAAAGCCTGTTATCAACACAGAGTGTGAAGAGGACTTTTATTATAAAATACGCTACAGTAAGAGCACAACACTGCAACACCACAACATTCTGGGAAATTTAACTAATAAACAATATTAATTAGCTCCTGCATTAATCTAGAAATTATTTTCAAGAATATTCTGGAAAACGTTGTTTGGTTGGACTAGTTGTCAAAAAATGTGTTATTAATCTGTGGCCTAAATAAAATAACTTGTGTCTCTAAAATATTAATTTGTGGCCTCACTATAGTAACTTGTGGCCTGATTATACATTATTTCATGGCATCATAATTCATGGCCCGATTGTATATTAATTTGTGGCCTCATTATATTCATTTGTGGCCGCAGTATAGAACTTGTAGCTTCAATATTGTAATTTGTGGCTTCAATTTATTAATCTGTGGACCCAATATAGTAACTTGTGGCCTCATTATATTCATTTGTGCCCTCAATAGCCTGTATTAATTTGTGCCCTGAGTATATTAATTTGTTGCCTCAATATATTAATTTGTGGTCTCAATATATTAATTTGTGGTCTCAATATATTAATTTGTGCCTTCAATATATTAAATTGTGCCCTCAATGTGTTAATTGTGGCCTCAATGTATTAATTTGTGCCCTTAATATATTAATTTGTGGCCTCAATGTATTAATTTGTGGTCTCAGTATATTAATTTGTGGTCTCAGTATATTAATTTGTGGTCTCTGTATATTAATTTGTGGTCTCAATTTAGTAATTTGTGGCCTCAATATATTAATTTGTGCCCTCAGAATATTACATTGTGCCCTCAATGTATTAACTTGTGGCCTCAGTATATTAATTTGTGGTCTCGTTATATTAATTTGTGGCCTCTATAGACTGTATCAATTTGTGCCCTCAATGTATTAACTTGTGGCCTCAGTATAATAATTTGTGGTCTCATTATATTAATTTGTGGCCTGTATAGACTGTATCAATTTGTGGCCTCATATATATTCATTTGTGGCCTCAATATGTTAATTTGTGCCCTCAATATATTAATTTGTGCCCTCAATGTATTAATTTGTGGTCTCAGTATATTAATTTGTGGTCTCAATTTATTAATTTGTGACCTGAATATATTTATTTGTGCCCTCAATATATTACATTGTGCCCTCAATGTATTAACTTGTGGCCTCAGTATATTAATTTGTGGCCTCAATATATTAATTTGTGCCCTCAGTGTATTATATTGTGCCCTCAATGTATTAACTTGTGGCCTCAGTATATTAATTTGTGGCCTCTATAGACTGTATCAATTTGTGGCCTCAATATATTAATTTGTGCCCTCAATGTATCAACTTGTGGCCTCAGTATAGTAATTTGTGGTCTCATTATATCAATTTGTGGACTCATTATATTAATTTGTGGCCTCAATATGTTAATTTGTGCCCTCAATATATTAATTTGTGCCCTCAATGTATTAATTTGTGGTCTCAATTTATTAATTTGTGACCTGAATATATTTATTTGTGCCCTCAATATATTAATTTGTGCCCTCAATATATTACATTGTGGCCTCAGTATATTACTTTGTGGCCTCAATATCTTAATTCGTGGCCTCAGTATATTACTTTGTAGCCACTCCACGAACTGGAAAATAAACAAATGTCGCCTCAGACGCTCCGTTCTTTCTATTGCTTTGGCTCAGTTTAACATCAAAGCTGAGGTGACGGGTCGGTCTTTACTCCCCATGTTCTGACTGATTTCCTCACTCTGGTCCTCAGAGGCCACATGGAGATCACGGAGGTGTCGAAAAGCAGACAGACAGGCTGACAGTAATGTAGGAAGTGTATCTGCCCCCGACTCAGCTCACCTTCAGCGTCCGGATCTCCTTCTTCCACGGAAACAGGAACAGGTTGACGCAGAGCATTTCCAGAAGCTCGGTGGCCTTCATGAGGAGCGAGATGCTCTGCTGGCAGTGAGGAGCCCCGTACTGGAGGCATTGGGTCACGGTGTGGTAAAAGGGCAGCAGGCAGAAGCTGCTCTCTGCCCCCTCTCTCAGTAGTACCCCCCGAGCTCCTGCCACCACCTGCCTGTCCGCACAGACCCCCCACCTGCCCGCAGTCCGCACCTGCGAGCCGCAGGAGTTCACATAGGAGTCCAGAACGTCCTTCAGAGAGGCCGGAGCCTGGTCTGCCGCTCCGCTGGCCATGATGAGGAGGTCAGAGGGAGCTGAAGGCTTCAGAACAGGAACCGAAAGCATGCAGATGCGCAGGTAGGGCTGGGCCAGCCATGCGGAAGAGCTCAGACACCGAGACACATCAGCGGAGCAGACGGGCAGCTGGAGCGGTCAAACAGCATCTGCTCCTCAGAGCAACTCCTCTAAACGCTGTTTATTCCAGCTACAGCCTAGAACAGCAGCCTGGAGGAGCCGTGTTGTGTTTCCTGTGTCGATTGAACATCCTTCAGATAAGAACAGCGACATCTAAAGGAGAGCATTCAGCTCGTTTCTCTCTGACTTGCACTGGCAGCTCATAGCCACCAGATGGCGCACCGAGCCTGAGCATTAATGGTAATGCGCAGAACTACGACGCCTGCTGGCTGCGTTTAGGCGCTACATTAATTTCCCTTCAGCTCTTCTGAGATGTAAACGGTCATTCGGAGTGATTTGCTGGGAACTGGTTCAGTGGTGGTGACAGTAAACAGGGGTCGCCATGACTTTTACGCTTAATAAAACACCTTTTATGGCGGAGGGATACATGCAGAGCTTGGGGAGGCAAAATAGTCCCCAAAGAAATTTAAATAGTTCCCAAAGAAAACTTATTATGTCAGCTTTTCCACGATTTTCCATCATCAACATTCCATATAAACTCAGAAGACTCGTGTAGGTTCACTGGTGCTTATTAGTCAGTAGATTTGGAACAATTTCGGTGTGAAATATAACTGAAAACGGGGACCTTGTAGTTCCACCCACTGGCCACTTTATTAGAAACACCTACCTTGTGCTTCCACTCACTGGCCACTTTATTAGAAACACCTACCTTGTGCTTCTACTAACTGGCCACTTTATTAGAAACACCTACATTATATTGGACTAATACAGCCATCTTTAAAACAAAAAGTTATTAAAATTGTTGAAGTATCTATGTAATACAAGGTTTCTGTGTAGTTATGTATACCTGCTAGCAATTTCTCATGTATATGTACACTGTTATACGTATCATTTTTTGTGTGCATATTATGTTGTGTAAAAAAAAGTGCATTACCTCTGTTATGGCTTTCTGCGCCCCCATGTGGCTATGCAGTGGTATTGCATTGGCAGCTGGGAATAATCAGGGTAATATAATACTACTACTACTACTACTACTAATAATAATCATAATACTAATAATAATAATAATAATAATAATAACAGAAACTATATACTCTTTATACTATATACTTACTGATGGTGCTTTATTTGCTTTATTTCTTCAAATATAGATGCTAAAACCGTTAATGCCAACGCCTGAACTTGTATTTATTTATTTTTGTAAAAAAATATATTATAAAAAAAAACGAAATTAATAAACCACATGGCTAAAAATGTATCACTTCTAATTATCATGTTAATCCTTTGATTTTCTATAATTATTATTGATTATTATTTGATTGAAAGAACGACAATTTCATAAAATCACAATATCTTCTCAAAACTATCCTAAAACAGTGTCTCAGTCATCAGGCAGTGAATTCATAACCATTTCATGTAGGAACTTTCTGTGAGGGAGCTTTTAGAGGTGGACGTCTGGTTCCTATCACCACCACTGTGAACAGTTCTGACTCTGTAAGTTTATCTAGAACAGAGCGTTTCACACCAAACCACTCTGAACGACTCTGTTTACATCTTAACTGTTTAATTATGTAGGGATTTTTGAAAATTGGTGGTGTCAACTCTATTAAAGTAGATGGATATACTTAATTATAAAATCTACTTTTAAATAATTTCATATTAAAGCAGAGAACAAAGAAATACGGCAGTGAAGTGTTTAATAAGTCTCATATCTTTATTTTTAAGAATATACGGTAGGAAAGGAACAGAAGCTCTAATACAAAAACATACAGTGGTGAAATTCAGACCGTGCAGCACAGCAGAGACAGAAACAGCACAAAAACAGTTCAAAACAGGCTTTAAACCCACAATGCAACAAACAGGAGAGTAAATAAACTGAACTGATCAGGGTGACGTCTATAAAAGAGCACAATTAACATTAATCTGACCATTTTGCGGTGCTACAGTCGTGCGGTAACAGCAGACGTTACAACAGTTTGAGTATTTTGGTGTATCAGGACTAAACGCAGCAGCTTCATTACTCTCTAGTGGAGTTACAGCATATAAAGAGTGAGTTTAAAGGGCCCATAACACAGAAAAAACTAAGTTACCTCATTTTATCAAATAAAAGTTTGATGTTGCATGTAAACACTAATAAAAACATCAAAACTTTAGTCTATACCGTTTATATTAGTAAACTAAACCGCAAAAACAGCCTGTTTTGAGTTTATTGTTTTTGTGATGTCACAAAAAACAACGTATTTCATATGTATCCACCTTTTCAGCCTATAGCTGTTTAGCTCTGCCCACTCATACTAAAGTTATAAAGAGCGTTTTAGCCCAGAGGGAGGCACAACACAAGGTGGCCAATCAAAACAGAGCTAATTTACATATGTCAGTCTTAAAGGCACAGTAACCAAAACAGCCTTGTTGAATTCTGAGGGATATGCAGGATTGGAAAATGAATTACGACTGTTTTTGGTACATAAAGCTGCACAAACAGGACATCACATAAATAAATATTATATATTACAAGACAAATGTGCGATATGGGCCCTTTAACTGTGGCAGTTTTGTATCTGAATGTGTACACGGGAGAATGAACAGGTGAAGTGATACAGATTCTCTGGAAATATCTTCAAGTAATAAAGCTACATCAGAACTTCAGCTAGGATTTGTTCTCTTGTCTATGTAGTGAGAAGAAAGTGTTCCTAATGATTAAAAACTGCTGAATGTAACACTTTTTAATAGAAGTTATTTTAAATAAATAACGATGTCTCATTACTGATCCGCCTCTGATTATACCTGTTTCTCACTCGACAAGAAACACAGTCAGGCATTTAATACATCCTCTGGGTTTGTTTACAGTTTACAGTTTGTTTACACTGGCCACTTTATTAGAAACACCTCCCTTGTACTTCCACTAACTGGCCACTTTATTAGAAACACCTCCCTTGTACTTCCACTAACTGGCCACTTTATTAGAAACACCCACCTTGTGCTTCCACTAACTGGCCACTTTATTAGAAACACTCACCTTGTGCTTCCACTAAGTGGCCACTTTATTAGAAACACCCACCTTGTGCTTCCACTAACTGGCCGCTTTATTGGAAACACCTACCTTGTACTTCCACTAACTGGCCACTTTATTAGAAACACCTACCTTGTATCTCCACTAACTGGCCACTTTATTAGAAACACCTACCTTGTGCTTCCACTAACTGGCCGCTTTATTGGAAACACCTACCTTGTACTTCCACTAACTGGCCACTTTATTAGAAACACCTCCCTTGTACTTCCACTAACTGGCCACTTTATTAGAAACACCTCCCTTGTACTTCCACTAACTGGCCACTTTATTAGAAACACCTCCCTTGTACTTCCACTAACTGGCCACTTTATTAGAAACACCCACGTTGTGCTTCCACTAACTGGCCGCTTTATTAGAAACACTCACCTTGTTCTTCCACTAAGTGGCCGCTTTATTGGAAACACCCACCTTGTACTTCCACTAACTGGCCACTTTATTAGAAACACCTCACTTGTATCTCCACTAACTGGCCAATTTATTAGAAACACCCACCTTGTGCTTCCACTAACTGGCCGCTTTATTGGAAACACCTACCTTGTACTTCCACTAACTGGCCACTTTATTAGAAACACCTCACTTGTATCTCCACTAACTGGCCACTTTATTAGAAACACCTCCCTTGTATCTCTACTTGCTGGCCGCTTTATTAGAAACACCTCCCTTGTACCTCCACTAACTGGCCACTTTATTAGAAACACCTTCCTTGTACCTCCACTCACTGGCCACTTTATTGGAAACACCTATTAGGCTGTTGGTCCATTCTGAGAGGTTTCACAGTGTGGATTTTAAAGATAAACAGCTCATGGAGAAAAACACCAGCATGTGTAAAGTGTTCTGATCTGCCTGCTGCTCTGTAAGCTAATAATCATAGCAGCACATTATTGATTTCCTAACAGCGCACAGATGAGTCGAAACCACTGGACTGCAGTGAGAAACACTGACCAGAGCACAGACAGACAAGACAGACAAAGATGGCGTTTTGGAAGCATAGAGGATTCTCATAATCCGACAGGCTGGAACTGATTGCTTCAAATATATAAGCTGGCTAGTAAAATTAATATTCATCTATACAGAAGCAAATCCATCAGGAGTATTAAGTGTATCATTATGGAATAACATCACAACATACAGAATAAATGTGTTCATCTTATAGTGACTGTATTATGTCCTTTGGTAAAGTGGTTTAGATGTGTCTGCTGAAGCCCTTACGGTCAGTCTGTTCGCTCTGTTTATGGAAGTTGGCTTTTTTCTACATGTTTGCAGTTTTCTGTTTTAGATATGAGCACATTAGGTTAAAAACGTCAACAAGTACTTAAAACAATGACCGTCTCAGAGAGGTTTGTCATTCTTGAGTAAAAAAAACAACAAAATAATCACAGTGAGTTCAACTGAATAAACAGTAAACATGAATAAATAAAACATAAACAAACATAGCAACAGTTTTCAGGGTTATTTATGGTTTCTGATTTCTCTAAATATGATTTTAATCACTGTAACTTACAAATATTATACAAAATTTTTTTGTTTTTCCTTTCAGGTAACAAAAAGTTCAAGCAAAGCCCAAATTGTTCTCCGTCAATAATAAGTGCTGTTCGTTGTCACACATGCGGAGAGGAAAGGGTTAAATGTGCCTCCTTTAAAAACAGATTCAACATCATATTAAAACACATACGATTCTGTTTTATCGCTACAGATTTTGGGGTTAAATGACTGAAGGGGAGGCGAGGTGAAAACAGCTAGCTACATTATCTCAGCCTGCACACTAAAACAGATGGTTCTTTAAGGGTTCTTTGGTAAAGGCAATGGTTCTATTTAAAACCATGAGATCTATATAGCACCATTTCATGCTTAAATGGTTCTTTGCATGGTGGAATAGTTCTTGAGATTGATGGAGAATGTGTTGTATATGGTTCTATATAGCACAAAAAAGGGTTCTGCTAAAGTTAGCATCGTAACTATAGAAGAACTCTTTTTGGTGCTATATAGAACCATTTTCAAAAACAACACCTTTTCCCGTCAACCCGAAGAACCATTTCACCATGCAAAGAACCATCAGGCATGAATAGGCCTATACAGAGCTCATGGTTCATGAGTTTTCTGAACCACTTTCCAGAGCTGGATTATGAGGAGTCTGGCCACTTCTTATTTCCCCCGTTATATCAAAAACAGGACTGCAAAACAGCAGAGGGCGCCTGTGAGCGAGTCCTCAATGAATGGGAGTAAACAGAGCTAAACGGCTAAAAATGAAAAGTTTAAAACTCACCTGTATGTTTTTTGGGCAGTACAACTCTAGCATTACTGCTACTGAGTGCTGATTGGTTAGCATTACTGCCACTGAGTGCAGATTGGTTAGCATTACTGCTACTGAGTGCTGATTGGTTAGCATTACTGCTACTGAGAGCTGATTGGTTAGCATTTCTGCTACTGAGTGCTGACTGGTTAGCATTACTGCTGCTGAGTGCTGATTGGTTAGCATTTCTGCTACTGAGTGCTGACTGGTTAGCATTACTGCTACTGAGTGCTGATTGGTTAGCATTACTGCTGCTGAGTGCAGATTGGTTAGCATTACTGCTACTGAGTGCTGATTGGTTAGCATTACTGCTACTGAGAGCTGATTGGTTAGCATTTCTGCTACTGAGTGCTGACTGGTTAGCATTACTGCTGCTGAGTGCTGATTGGTTAGCATTTCTGCTAATGAGTGCTGACTGGTTAGCATTACTGCTGCTGAGTGCTGACTGG